TTTATATGAATCATCTCAATTCATATCTGATTTTTTCACCAACTGCTTCATTGTAGCATTTTAATTTCTTATATGGTTGAACAACTACAATGTCATTATCTTCAACTTCCTCATTAACATTTGATCTATCATTATTATTTTATTACAATAGGAATATTATTAAATGAAGCTGGTTTTTTCTATGGCTCAAACCGGTTAGTATCACCTAATTTTTGGATCGTTTCATTAAGTCAATATATACTATCTATGAATAAATTAACTCGATCCAATGGATCATGATTTTGATTTGTTCGGATCAATATTTAGAATCTGTCTTAGTATTCCCGGACTTTCTGGAGGTTTTTGAAATTCCAAGAAAAATATCCGAGTTTTACTATGCAAATCGGATATTGTTTCTAAGCCAAAAACGTTCCAATTACATATAAGAGTGGTATTAACTCGAAATCATGATTTTTGACATTGTTCTTGTTTCTATTGAAAACGAAGAATATGAAAAATGGGAGATGTCACCCTTTAAAATTCACAACATCGGAATAAACACCATAACTTATTAAAGAATCTGACTGTTAACAATTTAGCTAGCAGACAAATAGATTAATTTTAAAATTCTGCAAAATGTTTATTTCATTTCATGTTAAAAGATACGTTTTACGGCTTTATAATAAATAATCTATTAAATAAATAATATTATACGTCTAATAATAAATTATTGTCTAATTAATTCCATGAAATTGTAAATCCACCATCACACAACGAAATTCCTAATCCTCTAATAATTAATTTTTGGTTTTCATTTTGCCACTCAGTATTATCATTTTTATTATTGGAACAAAATTTCTTTTCGCCGTTTCTAGTCTTAACCTTTACCTCAACAGTATTTCCATTATTATTAGAATCTTGTTGCAATAGTACACCAAAAATCTCAATTTCATCAATAAATGAACCCCGCCCTTTATAATTAAATGATACGCCTTCGATGCTTAAACATTGATTTTCTACAGTAAATGTTACAAAGGTGTATTGATCTCCCAGAAGCTCCAATAAAGTTTCACCATCATCTAAATATAATTCGCCTTTTGCTTTGCCCTTGGCATCTAAAGCAATCAACAAGCGAATTCCACTGGCACGCGTTTCAAATGAAGTTAAGCTGGAACGGCAATTTAATGGTATGATTGAACCGCCATAAACGTGCACTGGTATCTTTTCTAACGGTGCATCCACTTCCATCCATTTTCCTTTTCCTGGTTCTTGCTCAGATTCGGCCACCAATTTCAATCCAGTCATGAACTCATACCATATCCCCGCTGGAAAATACCCTTTAACTTTTGTACAATTTGGTTCTGTCACTGGTGTAACTAACAATAACCCATTGCCAACTAAAAATTGTTTATCGATCTCTAATGCATCTTCACCATTAGGTTCTAAAAACCATAACGGTCTAATCACTGGTGTTCCTCTTGTGGCAGCACAATAAAATGACGTGTACCAATATGGTAACATCTTGTATCTAATTTCTAACCATGTTTTACAAATTTGTTTAACATCATCTTCCCATCGATAAACTTCTTGACCTGGCATATGTATGGCATTATGATTTCTAAAAAATGGATAGAAACAACCCAACTGGTGCCACCTGATTGCAAGTTCCCGTTCGCACTTACCATTGAACCCACCTACATCAGCACCAACCAATGGAATTGCAAAGAATTGAAAAGAAATAACCCCAGCGATTGAATGCACCATGCTTTCCCATTCTGACCAATTATCACCGAGCCAATGAGCAGCGTACTTGCCGCTACCAGGAAATGTGGAACGTGACAAGACAAAAGGGCGTCTGTTGGGATAAATTTCGCACAATGACTTGTATGTTACCATTGCCTCCATATGACCAAATAAGTTATGAGCATTGTATTCTGTGATTCCAGAATGATGAAATGCATCCATGGGTGAAGTTCTGGTGAATAGAGGAGATTTTTTACCACAATTATTAATATCGTATGGAGGATTGTTAACAGAGTGTGGCTCTGGTTCTTGTACCGCTATTGCAGATAGAGCTATTTTTTTTATCGCATTTGTAACTTGCAGGTGTTCTTCATCTTCATCGTTCATCACAGTATTTGCCATATCATCAACTGTCTGATCAGCAGAAGGTACCATAATAATATCATCTCTTCGATCTTCATTTGATTCATGAGACAAATCACCATCAATAAAGCTTGCTATTTCATTCATATCTATAATGAATTATATTTGGCGAATGAACACATTAATTAGGCTTTATAACTATATAAATAAATAGGAAAAAAAAATATTTTCAAAATATTTATTATTATTACCTATCCATAGGCCATCGATTGGAACTTGTTCAAGCCATTGTTTCATCATTTTTGTCCAATACTGTTGAACATCAGGATGAAACCAATCAGGGAACACTGTTGTGCCAGGCCACACTTTCCCGACAAAATCTTTACCATCAGCTCGCTTAATAAACAAGTTTTTTTCAATTCCTTCATCATATGGCCTGAAACCTTTCTCGACTTTAATTCCTGGATCAACAATCACTACAAGTTTTTGATGATTTTTATGAAGACTTTTAACAAATTTTGAAAATTTTTCAGGTGGAAAACGACTTGGTGAGTAGGTGAATGGTTTGTAGACATCCATGTAGTCTATGTCAATCCAAGCACAATCCATTGGCATCTCTGCCTCTTTGTGTTGATTAACCATGTCTTCAACTTTTGCTACTGTATCATAGCCCCATCTGCATTGATGGTAACCAAGAGACCTTTATATAAAGAGGGAAGAAATAAAGAAAAACAAGTTAATCCATGGATAACAATACAATCAAGATTAATAATAATTGTGCAATTTATAATCACCAATATGGTATTAAATAAGGATATCCTATCAATTCTGAATATTGTTGAATAACTTCAGTAGGTGAAGGTCCCAATAAAATATAAAAATCAAGAATTCCACCAATAACTTTATAAGTTAATTTTTCATTTTCATAGCAAATATCCATACCATTGGAGTTAAGTAAAAACTATTATTTTTGTAAAGAAAATATATTTATGTTTATATTTTTATAATCGGGGGGGGGGGGGGGGGGAGAAACAATATTAATCAATTATAAAACTTACAACTCCATGTGCCTTCCCATTTCTAAGTTCAATATAAAATGGATGAGATCCGTATAAATTTTCATCTTCAGGACATGGTGCATCTAAGAAGTAAAATTTTTATTTAAAATAATATGTGAGATTTTAACAAAACATCTATATTTGTAGCAACGCTACGTTTTTTCTCTTTATATATATATATATATATAATGTTATCTGTTAAGAGAGAATTATTTTAAGCGAGAAAAGAGATAAGGTATGCAAGTGTATAGTAGGTAACAGTAATTATAATTAGTAATTTGCATAAATTTATGAGTAAAAATGATTTTACAAATGAACGAACGAAATATATGAGATACAAATTAATGAGTTAATTAATTAATAAATAAATTAGATCTATCATAAATACCTCTTGCCCAAAGAGTCATTTTTTTGCCTTTCTGCCTTTTTAACGAGCCGGTAGTTTCACCAATACCATAAATATTTGAATTTACAGGTAATTGAGTGGAAATTTCCATATATTGATCTTTAAATATGAATCTTTCATTTATAGTATTAAACAAGTTGTTATTATCAAATTTATCATCATCATCTCTTCTGCTCACTTGAAAACCAAATGGATTTACTTGATAACTAAATTTATAATCAAATTCTGTGTCTTTATTATTGCCATCAATGGTGCAATTACTTTCGCTGTTATTATTATGGTTGCTAGCATTATCATCAAGTGAAACCACTGATTCAGGAACACGCCAACGGTTTCCCTCTACATCTGAAACGCTGATGTGAATTCGATACGGAGTTTGATATTCTACCAAAAACGATAATTCTTTAATGTCATCCCCATATTCCGGAATCATGTCAACATGTTCTGGAGGGAGCGCTAATTTTCCATTAATGGAAGTTGAGGTGGTGATTAAGTCTTTTAAGAAATAGCCATTGTTAATTGGCTGAATTGTATCATTATCGGTTTCTTGATAAATATTACTGATAAAAAAAAATACAAAAAAATATTTAACAAAAAATTATTAGCAACATTAAAACACTTTTGAGAAGCTTACTGAGTTGTTGCCATTTTTGTAAAAAAAATTTTTATTCATTAGGTAGGAAAGCATGTTTTATATACTTTTTTTTGACGACTCCGCCTCTGTAGCGGGATTAAACACGTGTCCTAGTTAGTATTAGTATTAATAATTATTAATAATATTAATATTAATATTGTTAACTTCCGTCCGAGTTGCCGGATTCCTTTTTATTTTTTTTTGTACAGATTTTCCATCTGCATGTAATAAAGACTTGCAAATAAAAAAAAATTTTTCTTCGGAAAATTTTTAGCATTCAAAAGAAATTTACCATTTTTTTCAGATCCTATTTCCAGCCCTGATCATGTCTAATGATAATGGAGATAATTTGGAACTGGCAGAAAATGTATTAAATTTACCTTATGATTTTTCAAAATCTTTTACAAAATCTACGGCAGAGCTTTTAAGTAATATGATGTATCAAAAACCAGAGCTTCGCCCAAAAATAGCACTAGCGCTTCAACGTCTGGTTGAAAAATATAAAACTTTATTAGATTCAACGCATGATGATGCTGAATTAAAAAAGCTTTATAAATTGGATAGGGCAACAATCACAAAAAATCTTGAAGTTTTACAAAAATATTCACCAAATTTCTTGGCGGTATTTTTCAATGTGTTTAGTGAAACTTTACCTTTATACAGAGGATATATGCTTAATGTGATTAAAGCTTATTTGGAGATTACGCCTTTAAAAGATCTCAATGTGTTTTTTAATAAGGCGTTGGATCTTCTTAAGCAATCACTTGAAACTGTGGAAACAACATCATCAAACAACAAAAATAACAATTACAAAAACAATCCCAATGTACTTCCACCAATGTCCTATACAATGTTGGATTTGTTGATTGCAATGGTTCAATATCTTGATGTAAATTCTACTAAGCAATTGTATGATATGGCTGTTACGACCCTTATTTTCAAAGATGATGGAACTTTACAAAAGAAAGGTTACAAATTACTTAAACAAATTACAGAGAGTGAAAACAACAAATCAATGATATTGGAGAATATCGAGTATTTACAAAACAAATTATCAAGCACTGTTATGACAACAGTAACCCCTGTTAAAAATGTACGACTATTAACATTTATTAATATAATAAAGATATTGCCAGAATCTGACCTACACATGATACCTGATATCCTTTCAGAAACAATATTGTGTACAAAGGAACCTAGAGAAAAAACCAGATCAGCAGCATATGAATTACTTGTTGTTATGGCCAACAAGATGAAAAATGGTGGTACAGTGGTGATTAGTAAAGTATCGGAAGCAGATCCAAATTCAGCAGATGTTGAAGCAAGCATTAATGAATTTGTTTTTTCGATGGTTGTAGCAGGATTGGCAGCCACTACACCTCATATGATCAGTGCAACAATTACATCCATATCAAGGTTGATTTTTGAATTTAAGAAAGATCTTGACATTGATCTTGTTCACCAACTACTTTACACCATGGATAATTTTGTAAATTGTAAAAGTCGAGAAATTGTAAAATCTGCCTTGGGATTTTTCAAAGTGGCAACCATTTCGTTGGATGTTGATATCTTGACACCACATTTGTCACAAATCATAATAGGACTTCTTGTATGGTCTAATGAACACAAAAATCGTTTCAAGGTCAAAGTTCGACATATATTAGAGCGAATGATTAGACGATTTGGATATGATATAATAGAAAAACATGTACCCGAGAGTGATAAGAAATTGATTGTCAATATAAGAAAAAGGAGAGAAAGAGCCAAAAGAAAAATGAAGGCCAAGAGCAATACAAAAGCAATTAATAATGATAAAGTTACCAAAAAGCGTGTAGTTTATGATAGTGCCTACGATGAAGCATTATATGGTAGTGAAAGTGATTTGGAAGATTCTGATGATCATGACAATAATAGTGATGTCAGTGATGATAAATCAAACAAAAAAAACAAAAAGAAAAAGAATAAGAAATTCACTTCTTCTTCATGGATAAAAGAAGATCCGAATGCGCCAATTGACTTTTTGGATAGCAGTATGGTGTCCAATGTCGTTAATGTAGATCCTCAAAAGATAAATCAAAAAAAATCACTTTCATCAACATTTAAAGAAACAAGCGAAGGAAAATTAATAATTGAATCTGATGCTGATGATGATGATTCAGATGCTGATGATGACTTAGCAAAAGTATACTCTTCTATACAAAAAGCTGCCGAAAACCATTATTTAGAATCAAAAAATTCAAGTGTGGCGTTTACTCTTGGATTAAAACAAAAACTCAAGTATACTAATAAGAACAGTAATGATATGGATATTGATAGTTATATTACTAACACGAACACAAATAATAAAAAACATATTAAAAAAAGCAACGAAATTGAACCAATTGATGCAGTTGCTTCCAGAATGGCCAAAAAACAGAAAAAAAAGGAATTTATTCCAATTGGTAAAGAATATAAAGCTAAAAAAGCAGGAGGAGATATTAAAAAGAGCGGTAAACCAGATCCATATGCTTATGTGCCACTTTCATCAATGTATCATAAAAAAGGACAACAAAAAGTTAAGATTTCTTTGATTTCTAAAGGAAAAGTGTCAAAACGTCAAACAAAAATTAGAAAGAAATATTAATTTTTCATTTAATTTAACTAACACAAATAAAAAGAAAGTTTTCCGTGTTACGGTTCCTTTCTAAACATTGTAATTTTTATGTAGATTTTTATATATTTTTCTTTTTTTTTTATACGTTTCCTAATTCTAATAATTTGAAATGGTTGGTTTCACGGAAATGTTTTTTTGTAAAGAAGACTCATCAAGACTTGAAACGGTAAATTCAATGCAGTTTACGGTAATGAATAAAAATCTTCTAAGCGCTTTGTTGCTCAACTGAATTGTCGAGAAAGGATGAGATCAAAATCAACTTTGTAATGAGTCGTTTTTTTTTTGCTGTGCTGGCTTTGAAATGAGCTAAAATTGAAATTTGAACATAAATATTCTCGTTTTCCAAAATGATAAATGGTTATGGTTATTTTTACATCGCCGTATCATGCGAATCCCCATTGCTATCTATTTTAATTTGTCATGTTTTGTGGAACAGAAAACGTCAGAGTTGAGCGAAGCAGATACTTGACTGAAAGGAGATCGTGTTTCGCATTAGATTCCTTTACGCGGTGTCTACCGTTAGGTTTTCGCCTTGCTCTGATGTTTCGAACCATTCAAAATTAATGGCCTCGCCTTTACCTCTGATCATCAAAGACTTGTCACACAACGTGTTAGTATTAACATATTTTCTGATCACGAGACCGGATTCAAAAGCACTTTTTTTCAAATTTTTTTAATTGTTCTAGTGTTACGACTCAGATTAACGTTATTACAAAATGAAGACCTTTTGTGAAAAATTTAAATTTTTATTGCATTTTTGAATGAGCGCATGGCACAGCAATAGGAGGTCTTTAGACTGAGCCCATAGAAATTTGCAATTTGATTAGTTTGATTTATTATTTCATTGCAATTTAAATTTAGGAAAGCCCTTGTGCAATTATGGCAATTTAAATACTCAATACAAACAAATAATCAAATCTTAAGTTCAGTTTATCAAATTATATAAATTATGATTTGGTTAATCATTATCCCTTAAACGGAACAAAATTTCGTTCAAATTTGAACGAAAAAAATGAGTAAGTGCAGACCCCTCCAGACTAAAATTTTACTATTTGACCCCCATTTTTTTTTTTTTTTTAAATAGAAGAAAGGTGTAGTTTATATGTATGATTATCATTTATGACTAATTTGAGTTGGAAAGAAAATCTTATTGGTATGAAGAAAGTGTGATTTTAAAAAATCCCTAAATTTTTTTTTTTTTTAAGTCGTGATTAGAAAAAGTTTTTATCCCTTGATATCTGGTCTATAACCGCATGATATATGATACTACTTGTTCTAATAAACAAGTTTAATTAGTAAATAAAATCCAATTTAGAAAATGGTACTTTATTTTAATTTGTACTAAAAATTTTGTATAAATTTGGTAAATCCCGGAGAAAATCACAAATAATAAATGAATAAAATAAATACAATGATAATAACAAATTAAGTAAACAAACAATAGTAAATGAAGTAAATGAAGGAAGTAAAATAAAATAAAACAAATAAATATTGTTGTTATTCACATTGATGATATTCTAAATAACAATTTCTTTTTGAATTAATACATAAGGGAACATTGCAGAGAGTACAATATATTTGTGTACGGGATTCATTACTTTTGGCACCTTCTCCTGCTCTTTGTGTTTGATATCTACAAAATTTACATGCAACCCTATTACTATCTTCTCTATATTCTGGAAGGTGATTTCCTCCAATAAACCTATTTAATGGTAATGATGTTTTAGATGTAACATAAGAATTACTTCTGGAAGAAGAGGACAATGATGATGAAAAAGATGAAGATTGGTGGCGAGTTTCTCTTTGATTATTATCATGGCCCAATCCTGCTTTGATTAAATCCCATGTAAGACTTAAACTGAATTCTTTATGCTTAATTTCATTATTGTATTTTTTTTCAAATATTAAATAAGAATTAATTATAGCAGTATCTAACAGCCAGAAAAATAATGGCATCCAAGTTCTTCGGACTTTTTGTTGTGTTGAATAGTAGCTTCTTAGTTGATCAGCAATATCAACTCCTCCCATATGATGATTGTAGTCATCGATGACTTTTGGTATTGGTAAGAATTTTCTTGCTTCATTACCAAAAACACTGTTTATTTTTACACTATTGGAAGCAGTTTTTCTTGGACGACGTCTTAATCTATTAATTCTATTATTATTACCACCATCAATATTATGTATTGTAGATAACATTTTAACAGGTCCATTGTCTATCCACAATATTGATAAAACATTACCAACAACAACTCCAGAAAGTGTGTCCCATTCTAGTTTTGTATCCTTTGTTTTAAGAACAGATGGAAATCTTGTGGAATTAGTGCGGACAGTTCCACAGGCACCTATTCCTTTTTCACGTAAGATTTCAAATAATGGGATGCTAGAAAAGTAGTTATCCATATAGATGTTAAATGATTTGTTAGATGGCAAATCCTGGAGTAAGTGATAAACTTGACGTCCTATCTTGCTGAGGGTTGCTATTTGTATAGCAGTATCATCATTTCCGAGTCTAGATGTGAACATAAAGGAGTAAGTATAGCCTGCATCACACAAGGCTAAAATTTTATATCCTTCTGGGGTGGGTTTGTTTTTGATTCTAAAGGTGTGTGTACTCCTTCCTGAAAATCTAACAATCATCTCATCAATTGAAATATTGGAGGATGGAACATAAATAGATTGTGAGATGGTTCTTATGTGTGATGCTAATGGTTCAACTTTTGAATAAAAAAATGGATGGCTTTCATCAATGTCGGAAATATGTAAATATCTTTTAATTTTTTCAAAATTTTGCAACGTCATATATGATGCAATAGAATGGATTGGCATGTTTTCATCTTTATTCCAAAGGTCTCTATAGGATGGCATTTTGTATATTCCTGCATAAATGATGATACCCAACCATGTCAAAAAGTCGTAAAAACTAATATCTGTCCAGGTGTCTTTTTTATTTCTCCCATATTTATTAGTATTACTTACAATTGTTCTTAAAATTTTATTTGTAAAAAACAATTTAAAAACATCATAAGGAGTAATAGAATCAAGTATAGCATATTCATTTGGCATTTTCACATCAGATTCATGTAGAGGATGCTGGTGGTTTAGCTGATTAAATTGTGGTGGAGGCGGGAGAATATTTTGTTGTGTTTGTGTGTCATTACTTCTAGTTCTTAATCCCGTTCTTCTACCAGTAGTTGTTATATTTTCCATTTCTTCATTATTTTCATATTCCTCAACATCCTCATCCTCAATAGTCGAATCACTATTGATATCATCATCTTGATAAATTCCTTGTGGCCTTCTTGCAATACCAGCAATATAATAACCTGATTCATCTTCAGAATCTTCAATAAATTGTTCTTCGTGGACATATTGTTCTTGAACTTCCATTGAACTCATTTTATTTTTTATTTATTACGAATAAATTATTTTTTTGGTTGATTAGAATGAATATTATGTTTTTTTGAAATTGAATTGGCTTCTTGCACTGCACTTATTTATAGAAATTTTAGATCAAGTTTTATTAATAAAAATTCATTTTCAAGATAAAAACGGAGTGCGGAATATGGAATCAATTTTTGAGACAAAAATGTAAATACGGAATACATATTAATGTGGAATAAAAATTCCATATGGGAATTTTATTTAATTATAAGAAAAATATTTGTATGTTTGGAGAATGTAATCCCGCATTGATTCAATATCAGTATTAGTATTGCATTTTTATTTATTTCGGAATTGCATTTTGTGAATTCTAGAAAATTTACATAATGAATATCAAGTTTTTTTACATTTACATACAGTTCACTTTCTCTATAACAACCCTCTCTATAGCGACCACTAAGTAAAATTTCTCTATAACGAACTTCCCTTTTGTCCCCGTTTCAATTTTTTATAATTAATTTCTCTCTATAACGACCAAAAGCAGAAAAATTACATATAGGAACAGAGGGTTCGTTATAGAGAGAGTGAACTGTATTAAGGAACATTTTTTAATTAGTAATATTATACTCAAGGATTGAATCGGGAAACTTTTATTTGTAGTAAAAAATTTCGTTCAAATTTTAAAGACAACAAAAAATGATCGACAAAAAGGTAAAAAAGTTTCTACACATACTATTTCTTTATTTGTGATATGTAACATCCAATAAAAATAAATTTAAAATGATCCATATGTTTTGGAAATCATTTTTTAATTAGGAAAGGTGTGGCTGAAATCGTTGAAATTACCTTTTTTTTTCCCATTTATAGTTAAAATTGTAAATTTCGTTCAAATTTGAACGAAATTTCGTTTAAGGGATAAGCAGTGTATAAAATTTGCCGATCAATTTTTGTGCATGTTGTACAAAATTTTTTGAGGAATTGTGTAAAAGATGTATGCACAAAAAATTGTAAGTAGTTTAGTTTTTTTGATTTTTTATGTGCATTATACATAGAAAACTGTAATAATGCAAAAATTTCTCATTGAATTTGTGCACTATATTTAAAATTTTTGTTGTGAATCTGCACAAAAATATTTATCTCATTGTGCACAGTTTAAGGGGGTTGTGCACTGTGCACACTGTGCACATGAATTTTATACACTGATTATAAGCAAAAATCAGTTTATATGACTGTAATGTTTAATCAGAATTTAAATTGATTTTTTTTTTTTTGCTCTTATTATTATTATTTATGGTAATTAATAAATTAAGTTGCTGAAAAAATTACATAATCTCATGTGAATATGACTTATAAAAAAATTTCTTATATATACCCAAAATAATAAGTAAATATTAATTAATAATAAAAATTTCATTGTACATCTCTGCTAAAATCTTGTTCCACTTATAAAAATGAAAGAAGGTATTTTTTTCTTATAACTTTTTTAAAAATATAATAGTATGACCTTGCATCTTAACATTTTTCTTTTATAATAATGTTTAGCTAAATTCTATTATGGTAAATATTATAAATTAAAAATAATTTTTATTAAAACATCCAATTAAATACTTTTATTTTTTTATTTCTTTATATCATCTAATTAAATAATTTATTTTTTTATTTCATTAAAATAATCAGAAGGTAGGTATCATATTATAAACTTTTACAACAAAATAAAACATCATCTAATTAAATAATTTTTATTTTTATTTCTTTATAATAACCAGCCAGTAAGTATTGCATTATAAATTCAACTATAACACAAAATAAACATCATCTAATTAAATAATTTTATTTTTTATTTCTTTATAATAACCAGATAATGGTAAGTATTTATAAATCAATTTTTACAGCACCAAATAAAACATCATCTGATTAAATAATTTTTTTTTTTATTTTTTTATAATAACCAGGGAGTAAGTATTGTATTATAAATCAACTTTTACAACACAAAATAAAACATCATCTAATTAAATAAATTTATTTTTTATTT